ATGAGTCTTCAGTTGAATGTTTTTTAATAGGCAGAAATACTTAAATAAGTAAATGGCGAGTTGAATTTTTGTCTTTTTTTCTATTTTTGCTGATCGAAAATTGATCCAATCCGTGATTTAAAACCGTGAGATTTTTGATCCGTTGCACCACTAACAGGTAATGAAACATTTACCATTGTAACATTAAAACAAACACTAAGGGACTGTGTTTGAAATCATGAAGCACTGATTATTTTACAAGAGTTTTAATTGTTTGTTTGTTTTTTATTCTGTTTTCCAGAAGGGGAAAACTACAAGAGCGAAAAAGGTCATGAAGGAATAATTCAAAACATCTGACAGGAAGCAGTGAAAACCAAGACGAGATAAAACGCAGTGTTACTGGAAAAATGGATATACCATTAAACACAAGATTAAGGAGCAAAAGCTTGAGTGAGATTGAGAGCACTAAAGAAAAAGAAGACTCAGATGTTAGTATACATCATTCACCAACCCGGCAATGTTAAATCATCATGTAGGAGATTCTGGAATACAAGAAATGTTACGAAGAAGAAAAAGGAGGATGTCAATGGATGTAATTCCTCGTGTTAAACACAAGAAAACGCAGACAGAAATAACAGGAAGCTTCCTTTCTAACACTCGTGAACATTGCGTATACATGCCTACATGGGAAATAAGTGAAACATTTCCATCTCCAGATCCATCTCCAGGTGATGTTGATCATATCAGAAGAGCTCCAAAATCAAGTCACTCTAAATATCCTCCTTCCTGCTCCTTTTCTGTGACTTCTTTTGTTGACGAATCAGCAGCAGGTAGCAGCACTGCAAATCCTGAGAGTGAAGAAATCGTGACACACAGTATTATGAAGTTAGAAGCCATGCCATACGATTATAAACCTTCAGGAACATCTGGATCTAGTGGGCTGTCCAGCAGGTCCTGCCTCTTGCCTTGTTCTCACAGCATGGTCTCACTGAGCAAAATACCTCGTGAAAAGAACAACTTTACACAAGTAAACAGCTCACCTGATACGCTGTTAAATGAGTTTACACCAGTTATCAGTGATGATTTTGATGATGAAAACTACACGTTCCAGTGCTCCTGTCCAGGCCTGTACCAGTGCAGTGTGACCGGCCTGGTGTTTTTAATGAAGGCAGAAGGAGACGTGGTTTACAGGACTGTCCCGTGGAACAGGAAGCTGCTGGCCCAACACCGCAAGAAGCCTGCAGGACCCCTGTTTGACATCAAATGTCAGCAGCAGTCTGTGTGTCAGCTTTGTCTCCCACACTGTGAGGTCATCTCCACAGGTGGAGGTCAGTTCTTGCAGGTCGCTCATGTGAATGATGAGGGCATCGAGTTCATCACCCCTCAGCGGATAACAGAAAGTCACGTTGTTATAAACATCACAGGGTTTTCTGGTTACGGTAATGTCAAGGATGAAGACTCTCCTCCTGACCCAGTCCAAGCTTTGGTTCTGCTCTTCTACAAACCCCCAGTTGATCTTGACCTCAGATCTTTCCTCAATGTATTGTTGCTTCCAAGGAACGTCGTGATCCGTGACGTACAGCGCACCAGGAGGAAACTAATTGGAGATGAGAGGTACATAGATACACCTCCTCACTGCAAACTGCATCCAAAGCAGGTTTACACTCTGTCTGCTGTTCCTGAGGATGATCTGATTAAAGTTCAACCAACAGAAGCTGATTTTGATGATGAGTACCACGACAGCTACTTTACGTCTTTCCAGGTGATTTTAAGAATAGTCTTCAGAGATATTAGCCTGAGTCTGAAAGAAAAGAGCAGCTCCACCTGTGTTTGGGAAAGAGATCTATGTATTTTCTCCCCTACAGTGGGAACTATAAATCTTCCTCCTTCTGAGAGGCTGTTAAACACACGAAGCTGCTTCATTGAAGGGATATCAGAACCTAATCTCAACAGCCTGATCGACAAACTGCTGGGGAAAAAGGTGATAACTGAAGCAGAGAGGGAGGCAGCAGACACGAAGCAAAACAGAGGGAAAAAGGCTCGTTTTGTTATCGACACTGTGAGGAGTAAAGGTGCTGCTGCCAGTTCAAAGTTGATAAACATTCTCCGTGAGCTTGACAGAATCCTCTTTGAGCACCTCGGGTTAAACTGAACAGATTTTTTTTGTAGCATTTGTGGGGAGAAAGTGAAGCAATTACCTGCATGTGTGTAAATGGTAAAATTGCCTGTATTTGTATAGCGCTTTACTAGTCCCTAAGGACCCCAAAGCTCTTTACACAACCTGTCATCCACCCATTCACACACTGGTGATGCAGCTACATTGTAGCCACAGCCACCCTGGGGCGCACTGACAGAGGCGAGGCTGCCGGACACTGGCGCCACCGGGCCCTCTGACCACCACCAGTAGGCAGCGGGTAAAGCGTCTTGCCCAAGGACACAACGACCGAGACTGTCGGAGCCGGGGCTCGAACCGGCAACCTTCCGATTACAAGACCATATGTGTAGGGTCAGCATATGGTGGCAAATATTTTAAGAGGTAAAAACAAAAAACAGTTTGTTGGTCTGAAAATTATTTGATAACACACTTTAAATATACACAACCAGTCAAAATTTGCACACACATTCTCATTTAATGGTTTTTCTTTAGTTTTACTACTTTCTACATTGTAGATGCATACTGAAGACATCAAATATATTAAGCAAAATATATCGAGTCATGTAGCAAAGAAAAGAAAAAAATATCTGAATATGTCTTACATTATAGATTCCTCAAAGTAGCCCTTTGCTTTGTTGACAGCGCTGTAAACCCTCGGCCTTCTCTCAAAGAGCTTCATGATGTAGTCACCTAAAATGGGTTTCACATCACAGGTGTGCCTGTCAGGGTTCATTGGTGAAATTTTTTGCCTTCTTTATGAGGTTGGGACCATCAGTTGTGTTGTGCAGAAGTCTTGTTGGTACATAGCTGACATCCCTATTTGACAACTGTCAGAATTCATATTATGGCAAGAACCAATCAGCCAAATAAAGAGAAACGACAGTCCATCGTTACTTTACGAACTAACAGTCTGTCTGGAAAATTGCTAAACCTTTGTGACTGTACTTGGAGACCAGTGTTGGTCAATTTTACTTGAAAAAGTAATTAGTTACTAATTACTGATTACTTCTTCAAAAGTAATCCCATTACTTTACTGATTACTTGTTTTCAAAAGTAATTAGTTACTTGGTTACTTTTTAAAATCATGATGCACAACCTGAATACGTAATAAAGCAATAGGCCTGTCAGCCCAATTCAATTTTCTCTGCATAATCCATCGTATAAAATTCAATCAAATGAAAAAAACTCTTTTAAAAAAATATTTTATTAGTGTTAATCTTTTAATTTTATGCACATTGCATCAAGCAAAAATGAAATCGTATACAACAGTCTTTGACTTCAAGAAATTGTTTGACATTTAATCCTATTTTCTGCACATTCCAGCATTTAAAATTGCTGGAATGTGCAGAAAAAGTTTTGGTCACTTTTTACGGAATGAAACTCAGTACCTTTAAACGCTTCATGGTCATACTCTCTCCCACACTCTGTATTATCCGTTGTTGATCTACAACGTCTGTTGCTGCCACGGACGTTGCATGTGCTTACGTCGTTGGCATGAGTCGCTCTCACAAGCAAAATCATGACAGCTTAGTAACGCAGTAATACAACGTGCTTATGGGACAGTAACAGTAATCTAATTACTTTTTTGCATTAGTAATCTCTTACATTTCCTTCTTGACTGTTTGAAAAGCATTTCAGGTGACGACCTCATGAAGCTCATTGAGAGAACGCCAAGTGTGTAAAGCAGTAATCAAGGCAAAGAGTAGCTACTTCGAAGAATCTAAAATATAAAGTGTGTTGTTATTTCACTCTTTATTGTTTACTACGTAATTCCATATGTGCTCATTCATAGTTTTGATGCTTTCAGTGAGAATCTACAATGTAAATAGTCATGAAAATAAAGAAAAAACATTAAATCAGAAGGTGAGAACTTTTGACTGGTAGTGTAGCTGTGCAAGTTTTAGGACTCTATAACACTTTGATCAGTGAACACACAGTACTGTGCATAAACCTTGATTTTAAAAAGAAATGTGTGATTATTACTTCAATTACAATTTTAAACATGCCTTTCTGAGATGCATCTAATTTTTTAGTTTGTTTTTTTTTTCTTCTAAGAATATAATAACATGAATAGGACAAGTAAATAAAAAATAATGCACATTATGCGACCAATATAAGAGTTTAACCCTGTCACTTGTAAATTAATCCATATAAGAAAAGATATATAAAATAATTAGTTTTTCATCTTTTCTAGGCAAGCAAATATTACTATTTATGGCTCTTATTAAGTTAAATAACGCATCATCCGTCTTAATCTTAACAGCCTCTTAATGTTGCACTTTAGTGTTGAAGTTACAATTGTAACTATGGCAGCTGAAACACATAAATGCTGGTTTGGCAAGATTAAAGAAGTAAAGAGACCAAAAGCTGACAGACACAGGTGTATCTAGTCTCTATTGTTTACATTCTCTCTCCTATAAGGGTGAATTTAGAGTGTGTGGTTTTAAGGACTTTCGGGGCGATCGTGGCTCAAGAGTTGGCAGTTTGTCTTGTAATTGGAAGGTTGCCAGTTCGAGCCCCGGCTAGGACAGTCTCGGTCGTTGTGTCCTTGGGCAAGACACTTCACCTACCGCCTACTGGTGTTGGCCAGAGGGGCCGATGGCGCGATATGGCAGCCTCGCTTCTGTCAGTCTGTCCCAGGGCAGCTGTGGCTACAACTGTAGCTGCCTCCACCAGTGTGTGAATGAATAGTGGCATTGTAAAGCACTTTGAGGTTCTCGAAAAGCAATATATAAATGCAATCTATTATTATTATTATTATCCTCATTAATTTTCCATCATAAAATATTTTCTGGGAGCCAAATTTTTGTAAAGACAGACAAGTGTGAAATAAATCTAGTGAAGTATCTATGAAGTTATCACAGCTGTTATGTATTGCATTAGCACGTTTCCTATACAAGCACAATGAAAAGGGAGAAGTTACTATATTTTATCTTTTCCACTCAGTCTGTATAATGTGTTTCTTTAATAACACCAAAGTCATTCTTATCTTTCTTTGACAACTTAAGTGATGTTACTCTGAAACCATCTAATTTAAACACATCAAATATTGCAGCTGCATTTATTTTTTTATTCAGGTTTTTTTTTTTTATAATGACTGTTGTTTTAAAATTGCTTGATGCTTTTGTACGCTTCCTTATGTTATTTTACCTTACAGTAACATGATATAACTAACAATAGCATGACCAATATTTTAGGCTTCACACAGTAAAACTGGTCATTTCAGTGACTTTTTGCTTTGAAACTTTGCACTTTGTCACAGATGTTAGACTTCTTCTGTTAAGTTGTTGTGACTGTGTGAACCAAATCTGACAGGTGAATATGATTCTTTGAAAAAAATTGCATTAAATTAAACTTGATTTGATTCAAACAAGTTCTATCAAATTAAAAATGTTTATAAATCGTTTTACTGGAGATCTCACATGTTATTTATGGCAGGAAGCATTTCTGAACGTTTGTACGTTTCTGATTAAAAATCCACAAACGCACCTTTTGTAAAGACAGCTGAACACTGACATGATGACAGTGATATCAACATCTCAGTCTGAGTTTAAATAAAGCGAATCTGTTTCAACAAATCTGACAAAAAGAAGCAGCTAAACACATTTACCTTTAAATTCCTCCTTTGTTTTGAAACTATATTGCAATATTGTGAATTGGGTTTTAGTCTGGCCTCCCATCCAAGGCCCTGAGAAATCACTTGAATCACTATGAGTTACCCTATGTACCCACGTAATTGGTTTTTGGTCCCGTATGGTGATGAATTGTTAAGTAACAATTTTTGTATGTTAAAAAAGCATTTTTTCTTTTTGTATATAAATAAATGTTGATGTTGTGTGATGGGATTGTGTGCTTCAGTTTTACTTATAATGCGCCAAATAACTACAACTGATGGCTCAAGGCAATGCCATCCAGAGTAAGGATCTTGTTAGACACAGTGTTACTAAGAATTTTACATCCGGTACGATGACCTCAGTTTCATCTGAATTTAGAAGCACATAATAATGAGCATTAAAAGTATGTGAACATGTATGATATGCCTTCTGAAGCATGGATAATATAAATAGAAATGGTCCCAGCATGAAACCCTGTAGAGCTTCATAATTAACCTCAGTGTGTGAAGAGGACTCTCCATTTAATAACAGCTGTAATAAAATATGGTCAACGGTATCGAACGCTGCTCTTAGGTCTAGCAGGAAAGATTTCAACATTTCAATATGAATGAATGCTGGAAACTGATTAAATTAATGTCTGATGATCTTTTCTGTGTTTCTTCAAGTTTGTAACACTTTTTGCTTGTATTGTTGCTTCAATCACTGACATGTTCAATATAATCACTATGTCAGATGAGAAATTAAACCCTGTATAGTTTAAAACTTTAATTTAATGAAACTGAAATGTTGCTGAACTCTGATGGATGTGTTATTTAATCATGTCAACAAAATCAGAATCAGAAGACTTTATTTATCCCCAAGGGACAATTAAGAAACAACATAGCAGCATAACGTTAAAGATAAGGACAATAAGAGTGAAATAATAAATACACAGAATATACAGTATATACAGTTTTAAAATTACACAGTTTTAAAATTAAAGTGACTGAAAGGTGAATAAATAACTGTGACTGAAAGTGAATAAAGTGTCGGTAGTATAAGAAGAGTGTAGTTTATGTTTATGGGTGTGGGAAATGTAAAATGGAAATATCGGCTGGAGTTAAAAAGCAGAGTGGCTTTGGGGACAAAGGTGGCTAAGGACAAATCCTTAATCATCTAAATCTGACATTAACCATCTTTTAAAATGCTCCCCTGACACTCTCTTCTTCAGCTGTCCTGTGCAGCTGGTCCAACCCCTGCCTCTTTAAACTGGTCTATTTAAATCTCTTTACCTCTGTTGTGAACTTCACACAAAGTTTGTGGTAACAAAATCAAACTGATGCAAATCTTCTTTGAAAGATTTACACGCACGAGACAAAATAAAACAGACTGCTCAAAGTAAAAGCAGAGCTTTCTGTGCACTCTATGTGCTCTTTGAAAAGCTGATTGTACAAAACACAGTGGCAACGTGTGTATTAGATACACTCCCTACAAAAGCATAAATATAAAAAATGGAATCTGCAAGAA